GTGATGGGATCAGTATTTCTTGATAATGGTGGTAGTTTTGTGAAATACGTTTATCAAAGCTCTGAACTAAATAGATGTAATTTTATGTAAACTTAACCATTTTTAAAAGATTTAATAAAATTGATACCTCTCAAAAGGCCAGAATATAAGGAACAGATATTTCTTGATGCAAACAAAACTGCAAGCTGGTGAAGTTTAACGGACTATGTCCATAATTACGTTAAATCTGAATGACTTCAATTGTCAGATTAAAAGAACAAACTCAAGTATATGCCAGCAAAACTAAGGAGCAAGAAGGGAGACTTTTCAAACTTTCTTACAGGTAGACATAAATCATTGATTGAATGCCTGTGAAGGATATTACAAGAAATTAAAAATAGATGTTTCATGGAAAGTCTTTTTTGTGATATTGTTTGAATAGATACTTAGAGGGAAGAGAGGCCTGCAGCCAAAGAGGGAAAGGCATCAATTGAGAGAGAGAAAACTCTGAAATCCCTTTTGGGATATGTTTTAACTTAAGGTGTCTACTAAAGAGATAAGGAATACAAGGCTGAAATCCAGATCAAGAGATTACATGCAGATAAACAGCCTACTGCCACCTTGATGTGCATTGTGCAAAAATGATTCTTCTGCCTCTCAACCCCAGTTTCCACATACACAAAAACCCCAGTTTCCACATACACAAAAACACACTTTGCTTTATCTTATCACATTGCCTGTAGTTACGGGAATACATCATTGATATTTTGATAATGTTATATTCTCTTCCTAGAATTCCTTTCTTGCCTCCATCTGAACATCCCAGGGTACATAAGTCATCATGCTCAGCCTTTCCCTTTAGTAGTTTTGTGATTTGGGTGTATATGCTATGTATATAGTGTATTACATATACTTGTGTTTCCTAATGAGTGTAAACTCCTTTATATCTCAAGTGCTTATTAGCACATGGGTGTTCAAGTATTTATTGAAATCAAAGTTATTTATATTTTCAGTGGGCAACAGTTATAATCATAAGAACACTAGAAAATTTTATACTTAGAGATAAAGTTCTTAGGAATGCTATTTTAAATTTTCTAAGAGACTGAAATTTTTTTGACTTAGAAATTTTTTACTAAAGGCATACTAAAGGTTTCAATCAAGTGATGTTCTCATTATTTCTTGACATTTCCACTTAACCCTCTGTTTATACCTTTAATACTACATGTTCCCTGCTAATTATATTTATAAGCTGATGTATTACTCTGATATATTTAGAATACGCGCCTCTTAAAATAATTCAGAGCTAAGTGAGGATTACAGAATTATTCCATTGAAAAATAAAACTATTTGAAAGTGAATTTTGCTGACAAAATTACATTTAATTGGCACTCTGAAATTCAGTTTCTAGCATTTTCTCAGTCTTACTGTCAACTTTGATTAATTTCTTTCTTAAGCTGCTACCAAGCTATATTCATAGTATTACATAAGCCCATTTAAAAATATTTATGTTTAGGACCCTCCCTGGTGGTGCAGTGGGTTAAAGCACAGCCTTGTGAACCTGTGGAAGCCACTGCAGCACAAGTTTGATCCCTGGCCAGGAAGGTGACCTACATGGCGTGACAGAACTGTCCTGTCTCGCCTGCTGTTCCCCTCAGCAGTGTATTTCAGTATATCTGCCTGTTCTGTTCCCACTCTGTCACTAGTGAACCCTCTCACCCCCTGCATGACCTTTGACCTGTACTCTAGTTCTTGTATGCAAAAAATTATGTTTTATATGTACATAGAAAAATATTGGGGAAATGTATAGTATTTTAGTTAGGTGAAAGGAAAATAAAACTACCTGTTCCCTGGTGTTTAATATTGTGTCCTGATCTGTCAACCCAAATAAAAGCTTTTTGAGTAGTTATCTTGTATTAGATAACTAAGAAAATAAAGCCTAAATGTAATTTAAAAATATTATGAAGTTTGAATGTGATAATTAAATGGGAAAGAAACCTTTAAATATATATAATATATATTTAAATAAATATATATAAATATATATTTAAATAAATATATATGTGAATAAATAAATATATATATGTATAAACCATGCAGGTAAGAT